GCTTTTAGTGATTGCTTTGCGGTTCTTTCATGCAAGCTCAGAATCCAAGTTTGATTATTGGAATCCACATATGTTGTTATTCACTTGCTTTAGATCAATTCACTAGATGCGTTGAATTTATAGTCATTTATGTTGGTGATGGTGGCATACAAGTTTGGCTTAAGTTGTGAATAAAAGTCTTCTGCTTCTTGTGTTCCTACAGAGATGATGGAAGGCCAAGCAGTGCAAGCATCTTTGTTGGTGGTTTTGTCTTGGGAGGAGTCATAGTTGGTGCACTGGGATGTGTATTCGCTTCTCAGGTCATATTACCTTCTAATGATTGTTTAAGTGGTTATTTTCGCTGCCATGAATCAAATGTGTATTTGGTTTTTAGTTGTCTACCCATTATACATGTCTTTCGTCCTTCATAATTGAAATGATCCTGCAGGATCTTAGAAGGGTTGTTCTTTTTTCTTATACCTCATCACTACTTTTTCCTTTGGACAAGGAAAAGAAACAAGCAGCTATACTAAAGGGACATGGTTTTAGGCTGTGGAATCTTCCCATCTTGAACTTCTGTGCTATACAATTCTGTCTTGGCCCCTTGCTTCCTTGCACTTGCAGCATGTGTATAAAACTCCATTCTGATTGTCTTCTGCAGATCAGCAATGCACTAGCTGGAGTCAACAGAAGAAATATAATGAAGAAACTGCCCAAATTCATATATGATGAAGAAAAAGCTTTGGAAGTGAGCATCTCTTGACTCTTCTCTGTTTTTAATTGCTGGCATCCCATGAACATTGTACTCACCTTTGCTTCATTAATCATGTTATAACCTTTTCTCTGATATTCTTTTTGTACTCTTAAACTTCTTGATTCAAGATCTTTCCTTTCTCTAGTTTGATTGCACTTTACCTTTTTTTCTTTTCCATTTCGAATTCATTTCTTCTATGACAAAATTTGTCAGATTTTATGCATTGGACAGTTCTGAATCCGTTCAATAATTTCTCCCTTATTTCTGCTTGAAATTATTGAACCCTTGAACAATCATCTTGATTAATCTGCAGTTTTTATGATTGCTTCATGGCTCTTGATTTTGATGGAAGACTGATTATATATGACTTTTTGTTTGGCAGAAAAAACGTAAGATACTGTCTGAGAAGATTTATCAACTAAACTTAGCTATTGATGAGATTTCTGCTCAGATCCGATCTGAAGATGCCCCAAATAGAGTTCCTGTCAACTCCAATGAAGTAGAATCTACTGTATGAATTCTGTTTTATTTTAAGTTGTGCTATTACTGATCGTTGGTTTCCTTGTAAGGAAGTAATTATTGTAATGTTCTCCAAATTCTCCTCAATGAACAGTGTACTACTCTCTGAATGTTGCAGATATTGGATGAATATACATATTCTGCCTTGAACTGTGGTAAAAAGGAAAAAAGATACTTGAGTTGTATTTTTCTACTTAATCTAAAACAAAATTTTGCCTTTTTGGTATCTCTGAGAAGCTTTTGTTGAGCCAACATGTAGTTTACTAACTACATGCTTATGAATAAGCATGTAAATCATCCCCACAATATGTAGATATTTAATTTCCTATGGATGTTCACCACTAACCAAAATGATCTCCCAATTGCCAGAAAATTGCTTGTAAAAAGTCTGTTGCATGGGACCAGCATGAACCTAAGGTCATTCTGTCTTCTTGAAAATCTGAAATTCACACCCATAGATATTGTTTCTGGATTTTAAAAAATGTGCGGTGCAATTTAGATTGTATTGAATTATATCATATTAACTAATAAATAAAGATAGACTCCTTAATATTAAGGGTCTCTCTACCCAATAGTTTTTATTTTACCGTTGTTTATTAATAATTTATTTATTTATTATTTTTTTTTTTTGCAGTTGTTTGTGGCCATTTTGAAAACAATGAAAGGGCAGTTTAGGGAAAACAAGAATATCTTTGTGGCTCAAATTATGCGCTTGCATGCTCAGATGTTGTCTTATCCTTTGCATCTGCTGCACTCTCTATTCCAACCACACATTCCTTGAATTCACTTGCAACGATAATATACACGAAGGAAAAAACGAAATTCAATCAACTGTATAAATACTTGGGGAAGGTGGTTTTTGGTTCTGGTTGCAGCCATGGCCACTCACGCAGGTCTAGCTCCTTCAAGAATCCCCACAGGCACCAAGATTCCATCTAAGAGCAGCTCCTTCCCAACTCAATGCATTTCTAAGGTCTATCCTTTTTCTTCTTGGTTTCCCTTTTTCCCTTAAGTTTTCTGGGATATTCATTTCTGATTTTGTTTTGCAGAGGCTGGAAGTAGCTGAGTTTTCTGGTCTCCGTTCCAGCTCTTGCGTGACATATGCTACAAACGCCAGAGGAACTTCATTTTCTGAGGTGGTTGCTGCTCAGCTTACTCCTAAGGTTGATTGCCTACTTCAACCATTTGATCTTTTCTGAGTTTTCTTTCTTATTTTATGCTTGTGCACAGCGATTGGACCAGTGATGGTAATATCTTTCTAAAAATGTTCAGTGCTTTCTTGCAAAATTCGGCACAATTAAGTTGTTCTGGAATTCTGAGTCCATAGGAACACATTTTTTAGAAGTAAAACAATTGATCAGATCTTCTGAGCTTTGGATTAGGCTGCATGAAAGGAAATTTCCCTGCCTTCAACTTTTCATGAATGTCATGATGTCTTCTATGAAAGAAAAAAGTGCATCATCCTTGTGAATAATCAGCTATATAGTAAAAATATACAAAAAAATGTACAAAGTACTTTCAACATGAACCTTACGTTCCTAAAATATTAGTTTGTTGTAAGGCACCATTGTTGTGGTTCTGACTTCTGATGGGTATTTCCAAATTTAGACAGTAGCATCAACTCCTGTCAGGAGAGAAACAGTTGCCAAATTGAAGGTTGCAATCAATGGATTTGGACGCATTGGCAGAAACTTCCTTCGGTGCTGGCATGGCCGGAAAGACTCACCTCTTGATGTGGTTGTTGTCAATGACAGCGGTGGTGTCAAGAATGTAACTGACAGTTTCCCTGACTATAGTTAACATTAGCATGTGATATTAATTAGTTACATTCATCAACTAATCGTGTGCTATATAAAAACAGGCTTCACACTTGTTGAAATACGATTCATTGCTTGGAACTTTCAAAGCAGAAGTCAAAATTGTGGACGATACCACCATTAGCGTTGATGGCAAGCCAATCAAGGTTGTCTCTAACAGGGACCCTCTCAAGCTTCCATGGGCTGATCTTGGCATTGACATTGTCATTGAGGTGGGTCCTTGCACCTTTTTCTCATCAATTGCAGTTGTCTAAAGCATAATTTCTCTCACCAGCACAAACACGTTGGGTTCCAGTTTCATGGTAGCAATCTTTTCAACAACTGTACCAGATTACTGAACTATGCAAAGAGATGGAAAATTAATTAAAGGTAAAATTTTCAGAGTCTTTTTTGATGACTGGATAAGTTCATGTGCATTCAGGGAACAGGAGTTTTTGTGGATGGCCCTGGAGCTGGGAAGCATATTCAAGCCGGTGCTAAGAAAGTTATCATCACTGCTCCAGCAAAAGGTGCAGACATTCCAACTTATGTTGTTGGTGTCAACGAAGGTGATTACTCTCACGAGGTCTCAAACATCATAAGGTTAGTACCTCCAAAGAAACTTGATTGCTCATAAAGCAGTTCGAAAATTTTTTTTCTTAGTTCTTGCTGCTGTAATTTATAAGTGGATCAATTTCGGTAATTGCAGTAATGCCTCTTGCACCACAAATTGTTTGGCTCCTTTTGTAAAAGTCATGGATGAAGAATTGGGTAAGCACTTCTTCGCATTCACTCAGATGTGGAGTTAGTTGGTTCAGGTGAATTTCATAAAACCACAGTTATGAATTTTCTTTAAATTCACTGAAAGTTTGAAACTGATGTGCAGGAATTGTCAAGGGAACAATGACAACCACCCATTCATATACTGGAGATCAGGTACTTTGCACTCACCAAAATACTACTTGGATCTAGAGCTTAAGCTAATTCAAAGAATTTTGAATTCCAACAGGAAAAGTTGGACATTTATTTGAACAAAGAAGGCTAAATTGCTGCTTGTGATCATCATGCAGAGACTCTTGGACGCTTCACACCGTGACTTGAGGAGAGCTAGGGCTGCAGCGTTAAACATAGTCCCAACAAGTACCGGTGCAGCCAAGGCCGTCTCTCTTGTGCTACCCCAGCTCAAGGGCAAGCTCAATGGTATTGCACTCCGCGTACCAACTCCAAATGTTTCAGTTGTTGACCTTGTTGTGAATGTTGAGAAGAAGGGGATTACAGCTGAAGATGTCAATGCTGCATTTAGAAAGGCAGCTGAGGGGCCATTGAAGGGCATATTGGCCGTCTGTGATGTTCCTCTCGTGTCAGTGGACTTTAGATGCAGCGATGTTTCTTCTACCATTGATTCTTCACTAACCATGGTTATGGGAGACGACATGGTTAAGGTGGTGGCCTGGTATGACAATGAATGGGGATACAGGTCAGGATACATTCCTTGAAACTTTCCTGTTTCTAACCATAATCTTATTTGTGCCTTACCAGTTATTAACAGTAATATGTTAAATAATTGCAGCCAAAGGGTCGTTGATTTGGCACATCTTGTAGCAAGCAAGTGGCCTGGCATGCCTGCTGCAGGAAGTGGTGATCCCTTGGAGGACTTCTGCGAGACAAACCCTGGTGATGAAGAATGCAAAGTTTATGAAGCTTAGATCATTCCAGTTTTCTTGTCACTATGTCAGGATGAATGCTATAATGACCAGGTTTTCGCAGATGCTTATTTTGTAATGATAGTTGATTCATCATGAACAGAATAATCTTTTGAAATAGCCAATGCAATTAATGCGATTGCTTCTAATTCTAATTCTTTTGTTTTTAACTCTCAAAATCCAAGATTAAGGAACATTATCCAATTAATTTCTATTTGATTAGTTAATTATTCTACAATTTTTGTTCCATGTTAATTAAACCTATCAGTTAAACCAAACATCAGTTTTCCAATATAAAAATTTACTAGTAGTTTGATTGGTTGAAGAGCTTGACATACCAAAGCAAACTTGGGAAGGTAACCATGCATGTGTCTTCTCCATGTGAATGTATCCAACTGATAGAATTGTTTCTTTGAGCTCTTTTACTTTCCCTGAACTTAGTCAGGGGCAAATGAATCAAGAAGTGAGCAATAGCATTATCTCTGCATGTTACTATTATTTTAAACATGAGAAATTGTAGGTTTCCAAGCCATCAGCAGGAGTTGAACTCCCAACCAAAGAGTTTAGGCTTGGGTGTTGAACCGTTAGGCTAGCTAGTTAAGGCCAATTCGTCTACATATTAATTAATGACTAAACTAACTATGAAATTTAAATATCAACTTTTGTTGTATGCTTAATTTCCATGCGTGAAAATGTTCCAAAAAAAGCAGTAAACTGGCGTTTTTAATCAAGATTTCACACTCATACCTACAGAAGATGAAGTTTAATTGCTTGGAGCCAATTTCCAGTGTATTTTATTTGTCTCCCCCCAAGGAAGAAGCATCTGGTGTTGCTCATCTAATCATTAACATTGTTTCAACCTCAGCCTCTTCTTTAGCCTGCATCTCATAATCATTGACAACGCTACAGACTACCTGATGTCTAACTGATTTTGAGGCAGATGTCTCTCTATTATAGCAAATCAAAATATCTGGACATAGGGCACTGTGAAATATGAAAAATTAGTTGAGTTCCAAGTTGCACAGAACTGTCTTTACATTTTAAAAGCTCACTTCTTGAAGTAAGTCTTCTTTTTAAATTTCCATGGTAGAAATTGACAGGTAGAGCTATACTATCCGACTGTATTAAATTGAATTGAAGATGTTTTTTTAAGGGAAAAAGTCAGAGCAAATTAGCAAAGCGCAGGAATTATACCTGAATGATCCTTCTTTTCAATAGTAGAAATTGACAAGGAGTTCCTCTTTGTGGAGTAAAAATATAGCAAATTTGACTATAAAACACATATAGTCATGGTAATATACCACCCCATCAGTGAAAGCAATTGTGCCCTATTGGTCTGAGCAATAGGAATGCATCCCATAGTAAAACCAATAATATAATTACAGTTTGTGCTGCAAAATACATACATGCATTTCATGGAAGAATCAGAAGCATGAGCTATATACTTAGATCTGCACGTTTATATTTCTAAAGGAGAGAATAATTACCAATAGGGTCGGACGAGTAGACATACCAGAGTAGTAAAAGAAATGCTACAGGCCCTTCTCTTCTCCATTCTTACATATTTCCTTCGGTGTTCTACATGATACAAACCAAACAGAAAGGGGTTTTTAAGGTGGACTACATTTGAAAACATCGTTTTGGAGTGGGAAAAGATAAAAATACCATTGATGGACATTGGAGACAAAATACATTAAAAAAAGGGCCTCTACCATACGTTGATCAATTAATTAATTGTTGAGGTTATCGATCAAACTAACTTCATTAGTGTTTAAATTTTGGGAAAACAATTTATGACATAGAAAAGAAAGATTGAAAAGAAGCTATCAAATTAAAAAAAGGGAGAATTACCAATTTGGTCTGAGTTTCTTGTATCTTTACAATATGGACGCCGCCACCGTCTCCATATGTTAAGGTTGTCGAACGGCACACTCAAAATGTAGAGCAAAGTTGCATTTAGAGTGGGGACATTTAAGAGCCAACTGATCTTTGCAAGGATGGCCACATCTATCGCATTCCGGATAGGGATATTTCTCACTCTGAAAATATAGGAGAGGTCGTTCATGAGAATCACATCTAATATCAGAAATACTCCCGCGCTTGATGAATGGGTATTTTCCAAGAACGCAATCGGGATGAGCATCAAAATCGCACTCATCACACCGATAAAACCACTGCTTTGGATCTCTTCTATCTTCACAGATTTCACACATGTGTTGAAATGGATCACCATCATCATCCTTGTAAGGATCTTCATAAGTGAGTTTTAGAGGGTGATGGTGGAACCTATGTTCAGCTGTAAGGGGCCGTGTCATGCATCTGTAGTCCAAGGCAAATTTGCAATTCTCCTCTTCCTCTGCTAGCGTGCATTTGTAACCACCATAATAACTCACTCTTTTACTGCAGCCACTAGATTGTCCCTGGTGCTCTCGATCACAGAAGAGGGAATGCTGAGCATGTGCTTCATGGGTACTGATGAAAGGGATCTCACTACATCTGAGGCAAACGCTATATCTGTTTACTGAGCAACAAAAACCGCTGCAGTCATACTTACAACATTTACATCTAAAAATGCACCCCATGCTGACTCGAAGAGGATCTTGGTAAGCCCAATGTGGTTTCTCCTCTCCAATTTGGGCACAGGCCTTGTGAAGGGAGAAATTACACTCTGCTTGAGGACAACTGTAAGCGGCAGTCAAGATCGGTAGTACACACCCATCGCAACATTTTTTATCACCATTCGTAACAATCTCCTCATTATCAAGCACTAATTCATGCTCATGGCTGAAATGCTTTATCTTGTCTCCTAGAACCACGGCACAACCTGAAAAATCTAGAGAATTAGAAGAACATAATTGGAAAAGCTGTATATTTCTCTGTACAGAGTACATTACTTATATGGAAGTTAATGACAGAAGTTTAGCCTAAAACTATTCTTACATAGAAGGAAATACAAATCAAGAAAGCAAAGAAATAAATCTGTCATAATGATTGATTGCTTCTCTGTCAACAAGCTTGATTTTCTCCGTGAGGCCAACAAGCTTGATTTTCTCCGTGATGATCTCCTACACTCCCCCTCAAGTTGGAGAATGAAGGTTGCGAATTCCCAACTTGCATAATAGATGAAGGAAGCGATCACGGCCTAAGGCTTTGGTAAAGATGTCTGCTGGCTGTTCCTGTGAGGAAATATGTGCAGTAAGGATGTCTTTCCGTTGTATGCGTTCACGAACAAAATGGCAATCAATCTCTATATGCTTTGTTCGTTCATGGAATACAGGATTATTGGCAATATGCAGAGCTGCTCGATTGTCACAGTAAAGTGTCATTGGCTTTGAGTTAGAAACTTGAAGATCACATAGTAATGTCTTTAACCAACTCAGTTCACTGGCAGTGGCAGCCATTGCACGGTACTCCGCTTCAGCCGATGATCTAGATACTGTGACTTGTTTCTTCGATTTCCATGAAACAGGGGAATTCCCAAGGCAAACTAAGAAGCCGGTTGTGGAACGTCTTGTGGC